AACACGTTCACCGTTAGTAACACGGTCACCGTCATATTTTTTATCTCTAGATTTCAAGACTTAATTCTCAAATCATTGTTAACTTACTCTTAAAATATTGCAGATTTATTGTGGCTGTACGACAACTTTGTTCTAAAAATATTCAGAATTTCGTCTAAACATCAGAGAGAGAGAGAGAGAGAGACGAGCAGTTTCTTGTTTTTCAGACACCTTTGTGTGTATTATGGCTGTGATGTGTCCAGGTGTGTGTGTGATCACATGACTATTGTTCTCTCTAAAAATAAAACCTTCATGTGTTCACGTGTGACCTGAGCTTCAGTTCTGCTTTTAGTTTCTCAGTAACAGAGTTTGTGTTTCGATTCTTCACCACAGAAACAGAAACAGCTGCTGACGGCCTCTTAGACACTTTCTAATATTCTCTGGACCTGCAGCCGGATCAGGTTTCAAGGTCAAACAAACGTTCCAGGATTTTCCCAGAATTCCAAACACACCATGTGACCGCTGACCCACCTTGGCCAGCCGTGCTCGCTTGATGAGGTCGTTGAGCTTCCGCAGCGCCGCATTCCTCGGAAGACTCTGGATGTCCCGGAAAAGGTCCTGAGACTCGGCCTCGAACAGACGCCTGCAGGGGGAGTGAACACATGAATGAATGAATGAATGAATGAATGAATGAATGAATGAATGAATGAATGAAAAGGTCCTGAGCCTTGGACAGAGTGAGTGTCACTTGGTCTCAGTGTTCTTCAGCAGTTTTAGTGAATGAATGAATGAATGAATGAATGAGCGGCTCTCACCTGTTCTCAGTGTTCTGCAGCGGCTTGGCCCAGAAGGAGCCCAGGTAAACTCTCACCACCTCTGGGGTGTTGATCACCTTCCCCAGTGACCACATGAGGGCGCCGTACACCCGCATCAGCTGCTGGGTGTCCACCTGAGAGCACAGGTGAGGAGGGGGAGGAGTTTAGAATGGACAGGTGAAGAGGAGGTTCGAAGGGACAGGTGAGGAATGGGGGGGTTTGGAGCAGACAAGTGAGGAGGGGCAGGGGTTTAGAGCGGACAGGTGAGCAGGGTCTACCTGAACAGTGGTTCTGCCTCACCTGGTCGGCCTTGTTCAGCACCACTCGGATCTTGTCGTCCTGCCCTTTGAAGGCCTTGATGGCCTCCGAGAACTCGTCAGAAATGTCCAGCTTGTGAGCGTCGAACAGCAGGATGATCCGGTCCACTCGCTCCCCGAACCAACGCAGAACCTCGGCGAAGTCATAACCTGCCAACAGGTGGACAGGTAAACATGTAGATAGATGGACAGGTGAACAGGTAAACCGGTAAACAGGTTAACATGTAGACAGGTAAACAGGTGGACAGGTGAATAGGTGAACAGGTGACAGGGTGAGGGTTAGCTAGTCTTACTACTGATTTAGTCAGGAGGGTTTTTACTTTAATCTCTTAAAATATCCTTAAACNACACACACACACACACACACACACACACACACACACACACACACACACACACACCTGCTGCGTCTCTCTGCAGGCCGACCAGCAGCTGCAGCTCGGTTCTGTTCGTTCTGTTCATTCTGCTCGTTCTGTTCCGGCTTCCTGACGTCAGAAGAACTGGTTTCTGTTCTCTGGACGTTTGTGACTCACACGATAAAACTTTTCTACACAAACTCGGTTGTGTTTGACAACAACTCAGCTGGACCAGACCGAGCCAGAGGTCCACTGATGAGTCCCTGAGCTGGTTCTGTTGCTCTCTGAGTGTTTATTTACTCCATGTTGCATTAAAAGCAGCAGAATTCCAAAATATACCAAATACTACAGATCAAATACACGTCTTATTAAGAAGTTCTGCACCTTGTTTTCTCTGCTGCTGAAACCAGTTTGGACCCCAAAGATGTCGACATCAAATGTGAAAATGAATCATGTTGGAAAACAAAAATCTGTAAAAAATAAAATAAAACTGCCTGAAAAAGTGTTTTACGAAATGTTGGAAAACTGTAAAACTAAAGACATTTCTTATTGGGTTTAAATACAAAAACACTATGATAGTATTTTTGGTCATACGTTGTAAAAGAATTAATTATTACTTGTAGAAATACAGATGTGTGACGTTATTCACAGTTTTAGTCTATTTTTTTTACAGTTAACATGAAAATTAATATTTTTTCTGTGACTTTACAGGATATTATCTGTAATTTAACAACATACAGGGACATTTGTTTTAAAGTAAATTTATCTAAATCTTTAATATGCAATTTTCTTCTTTTAAATAATGTATACACTTACAATTAATTTATAGACTAATTTAATGTATTATATAAATTATCATTTATTTAATAATAAATACATTTCTGACATAAATACAGCAGCACAGGGCCATTTTATCTGCACTTTTAAGTGTCATTTGTCTGATTTATTTACAGTTTTGGCCTTTTGCAGGTCAATTAATAGTTTTTTCTGTGATCTTTATTTTTATAGTTTGATTGATTTAAAAAATAAAAAAATGTAATTAATTATTTCAATTTAATATAGGGATCCCTGAAAAAAAACAAAAAAAACCCCCCAAAAAACACAAAAAAAACCCATGATTTTTTTTTACAGAACTTATGTGTTGACTTTCAGGAGTCTTGGCTCTGGGAGGACAGGCAGCCTTTGTTCCAAGTGTTCTAAGTCAAGGTTTGGTTTCTGCAGCGCCCCCTGCTGGCGTCTGAGGTTAAAGCGCAGCAGCGCTTGTAATACCTGCATCTTGGCGACGTTGGGGAAGTCTCCGGGGCTGATGTGGTGCTCCCTCTGCAGGATGGTGTAGATCTCCGGCAGCCTCATGATCAGCTCCTCCTTCTTCTTCTCACGGCCGAACAGAGACGGCATCTCCTTCTTCAGGTAGCTGATGATGTAGGCGTGGACCTGCAGGACGATTACAAACCAAACATCAGAACCTCTGCACGACATTCATCAGCACTCCGCTCTCATGTTTCTGCTCTAAAGTCCTGCAGCTCTGAGGAACCAGAACATGAAGGAGGAGAGAGAACTCAGAGACGTCTTCTGTCAGCAGGA